GAAGATTACTTTATCGTGTTGTGAAGATCACTTTTCTGAGTAGTGAAGATTACTTTATTGAGTAGTCAAGATAACTGTCTTTATCGTGTGGTGAAGGTAACTTTATTGAGTAGTGAAGATTACTTTATCGTGTTGTGAAGATCACTTTTCTGAGTAGTGAAGATTACTTTATTGAGTAGTCAAGATAACTGTCTTTATCGTGTGGTGAAGGTAACTTTATTAAGTAGTGAAGATTACTTTATCGTGTTGTGAAGATCACTTTTCTGAGTAGTGAAGATTACTTTATTGAGTAGTCAAGATAACTGTCTTTATCGTGTGGTGAAGGTAACTTTATTGAGTAGTGAAGATTACTTTATTGAATAGTCAAGATAACTGTCTTTATCGTGTGGTGAAGGTATCTTTATTGAGTAGTGAAGATTACTTTATTGAATAGTCAAGATAACTGTCTTTATCGTGTGGTGAAGGTATCTTTATTGAGTAGTGAAGATTACTTTATTGAGTAGTCAAGATAACTGTCTTTATCGTGTGGTGAAGGTAACTTTATTGAGTAGTGAAGATTACTTTATCGTGTTGTGAAGATCACTTTTCTGAGTAGTGAAGATTACTTTATTGAGTAGTCAAGATAACTGTCTTTATCGTGTGGTGAAGGTAACTTTATTAAGTAGTGAAGATTACTTTATCGTGTTGTGAAGATCACTTTTCTGAGTAGTGAAGATTACTTTATTGAGTAGTCAAGATAACTGTCTTTATCGTGTGGTGAAGGTAACTTTATTGAGTAGTGAAGATTATTTTATTGAGTAGTCAAGATAACTGTCTTTATCGTGTGGTGAAGGTAACTTTATTGAGTAGTGAAGATTACTTTATTGAATAGTCAAGATAACTGTCTTTATCGTGTGGTGAAGGTATCTTTATTGAGTAGTGAAGATTACTTTATCGTGTAGTGAAGTGACATAAACGCTTAGTGCTTGACACATGCAGACTTAAGACAGACAAACACGTACAATCAAACACACTTACACACGAGGAACAAATACAAATATACAGACAGAGACAAAACTAAACAAAACAAAGAAACAAAAATTATGGCCAGTCCGACAGGGAACACATACACAACAAAAGCACACACACACACACACACACACACACACACACACACACACACACTTTTTTTTCTCAGGGCTGTGCGTCGTAGTCGACGACGACTCTGCTTCATTATGAAATCGATGATGATGATGAGTGGTGAACTAGGGATGTTGTTGGCGGTGCCAATAGATGTGGCTGTGGAGTCCAATCTTTGACCCGCAGACTCTATCACACATTGTGCAGGACAGCTTCGGGGTGGCAGGTCTCTGGGAGTGCGATTGTGGTTCCTTTCCCTACGCTGGTTCTCGAGATGTTTGACGCCTTGGGTACAGGTGGAGCGCCATAGACTACGGTTGGATGCAATTGTTTCAAGATCTTTTGGAGGAATTTAAAAAAAAATGAGAATCATTCTGAGCTGATCTTTGTACCTTTTGCATTGTCCTCCAGAATTGCGTAGCACCTCGGGCAGCTGCCCGTAGAGGACCTGACGGGGGATTCGGTATTTTGGCATGAGGATGACGTGTCCCGTCCATTGCAACTGTCGCTTCGCCAGAAATGCCTCTTTGCTGGTGGTGTTGGCACGCAGAAGGATGTCGGTATGAGGGACTTTGTCCTGCCAGGTCAGACCAAGAATGCACTGCCAACAACGGATATGGAAGGCCTCGAGAGATCTGATGTGCCTTTGGTACGTAATCCACGCCTCAGGATCAAATAAGATGGTGGATATTGTTATGATGAACTACTCAGTTTGTGTAGGTAAGACTATGGTCACAAGATGGCGCTGGCCATCAGTCATCCTGGGGTATAACTGGCCGGTCTAGTGTGATGGTTTGGATTTAATGTTCATTTATTATTACTTAAGTTTTCTAATTTCTTTTGTTGTATATATTTTGTATAAAATTCCTTCATCAGCTTTAGTCATACTTTTGTAAATAAATATTAAGTTTGAATTGTTAATGTGATTTTCCTTATTAAATAGGTTGAAGAATTTGTTATGAGAGGGGCGGGTTAAAATCTCGCTTTGTATCGTAACAATATACAGAAAACTTGGTAAATAGAAAGTTTGGTTGTAACTTTGAGGCTGTTATTGTCGAACACTCCGGCGCGCAGACGACCAAAGGAGGCAGCTGCAAGAAGGATCCGAACCTGGATCTCCTCGTCGATGTTGTGCTTGGGGGAAAAAACGCTTCCGAGGTAGGTAAAAATGTTCTACTCGTTTGACAGGTTCTCCATTGACCAGGAATGCAGGTGGTGGGTCTGCGCCTCTGTGTTGAGCAATTATCTCTGTTTTTTTGGATGTTAATTTCTAGTCCGATGGCCTGATATATTGCGGAGACAATCGAGAGACTGTTGGAGAGCCTCTGGTAGTGAGCACCGAGCGCGCAGTCGTCAGCTTATTGGAGCCCCAGGATGTGGAAGGTCGACGTTTTTGTTATTGCCTGAAGGCGGCGGAGGTTGAATAGGTTGCTGTCTAAACGGAATTGGATCTTCACGCCGTCATCGTCGTTCGTGGAGTTATGGCTGATCAGGGTCATAGCTGTGAGGTAGAGATTGAAGATGACGGGGGCCAGAACGCCCCCCGGTTTCACACCGACCTCAACACTAAACGGTTTGGACTTAGTACCTCTTGCGAGTAAACATACTTGCATGTCCTCATGGAAGCTCTTGAGGATTTTAGAAATTTTGGAGGGACACCAAACTTAGAGAGAGAACTGCTCGGAGCAGTTCTCTATTGACACACACACACACACACACACACACACACACACACACACACACACACACACACACACACACACACTCACACACACATACACACACACACACACATACACACACACACACACACACACACACGTAGTTGGGTACCTTCATTAAAAACACTGAATTAACCACAAATCAAGAGCTGGTACGAAAAAATATTGTACAGGTGGGTTCTGTTGTACAGGTGGGTTCTGATGTACAGGTGGGTTCTGATGCACAGGTGGGTTCTGTTGTACAGGTGGGTTCTTGTTGTACAGGTGGGTTCTGATGCACAGGTGGGTTCTGTTGTACAGGTGGGTTCTGTTGTACAGGTGGGTTCTATTGTACAGGTGGGTTCTGTTGTACAGGTGGGTTCTGATGTACAGGTGGGTTCTGATGCACAGGTGGGTTCTGTTGTACAGGTGGGTTCTGTTGTACAGGTGGGTTCTGTTGTACAGGTGGGTTCTGTTGTACAGGTGGGTTCTGTTGTACAGGTGGGTTCTATTGTACAGGTGGGTTCTGTTGTACAGGTGGGTTCTGTTGTACAGGTGGGTTCTATTGTACAGGTGGGTTCTATTGTACAGGTGGGTTCTGTTGTACAGGTGGGTTCTGTTGTACAGGTGGGTTCTATTGTACAGGTGGGTTCTGTTGTACAGGTGGGTTCTGTTGTACAGGTGGGTTCTATTGTACAGTTACTCGTGTAGGACCGACTCTTGTGGAACCGACTCATGTGGGACTGACTTACATGGATGCAGTGAGAAAATCCCGAATGATGTATAGAGTAAATGAAAAATTACGTCTATCTACGAAATATTAAAACAAAAATGCTAAATAAAGGGAATTTAATTATCTATTCTTGGTTGGAGCTCCAATAAATTACCCTAGATGCTCTTTTGTCACTAAATTTCCTATCGGGTCTAGAGGTTGTCAAGAGCACATACAAACATCAAGGTCTTTCCGTGGTTGAGTTTTCCTGTCGATATATCAAATCTGTTAGTTGCTTTGTTTACATGCAAAGTAAGTCACGTGACCCCATATGTGTGTGTGAGTTGTAGTCCTTGATAGCAGTGGTTAACGCATAGGTGTAGGGGTGAAATTGACAGGCGAATGACAATTGGTGTACAGATGAAGAAGTTGAGGACAATTGGTGTACAGGTGAAATTGAGGACAGGTGAGGGAAATTAGTGGACAGGTGAAGGCTTTGAGCACAGGTGTGACATTGTGTTTAGAGGACATAATGTGTGAATAATAATAATAACTCCATATTCTTTCATGAACTCATTTATTAAAAACCGCCTTATCATTTACAGATGATTATAATTTATCAGTACATTGTGGTGATGTTGATATAAAGTCTCTTAAGGTGAGAAAAACCCGTGTTACAATATGGTATCTTTATTTGGTTTACCTGAAGATTAGAAACTCCAGCTTATTTCACCTGAAGATTAGAAACCCCAGCTTATTTCACCTGAAGATTAGAAACTCCAGCTTATTTCACCTGAAGATTAGAAACTCCAGCTTATTTCACCTGAAGATTAGAAACCCCAGCTTATTTCACCTGAAGATTAGAAACTCCAGCTTATTTCACCTGAAGATTAGAAACTTTAGTTTATTTCACCTGAAGATTAGAAACTCCAGCTTATTTCACCTGAAGATTAGAAACCCCAGCTTATTTCACCTGAAGATTAGAAACTCCAGCTTATTTCACCTGAAGATTAGAAACTCCAGCTTATTTCACCTGAAGATTAGAAACTCCAGCTTATTTCACCTGAAGATTAGAAACTCCAGCTTATTTCATCTGAAGATTAGAAACCCCAGCTTATTTCACCTGAAGATTAGAAACGCCAGCTTATTTCATCTGAAGATTAGAAACCTCAGATTATTTCACCTGAAGATAAACCTTTTTAAAGGCGGCGTCACACTAGCACTTTTTCCGTCAACTTTCCCGGTTGCAGTGGGTTTCTCCCCGAATTGTCAATTTTTCTAGCCTGTCGCTCAGACGAAACGTATCGTTTCAGCCCGACCGGCTTGCCTCAATTTCTGCGGTCAAGTTAAGATCTACTGCTTACTCGACAGTCGACAATGAGGATATTTATATAAAATAGATATCGAACCACATAAAACAATTAAATTTAATTTTTAAGGTATTAAGTATCGTATATTTAATAAATTGCTTAAAGTGTAAACTTTTTTATTGATGTTGGTATTCGTAAATACATCTGATATGTTCATTTACATTGAGATAATTACACCCTATTATTTCCTCAAGGTTCCTGTATCCTCCCCACGTGACAAACATCTGTCACCACCAACATCGACTCATGACGCCACTGTTCCTTGTTTAATTTGGAAATTGTTTTACAGCAATGAATTAAAATATGTTGTAATTATGGCTTCTTTCTGCTTCTCTCTGCCAGCGAATCAGCTGACCATGCGCGAACGTTCATATGTAAACAATAACATTCAACGTTCACATAAACAAGATGACACCAACATGTACTGTAGGTGTCTCATGTATACGTATATAGTCCATTACCAAAGACAGAACTTATCACTTTGATTCACCACCACAGTAATACCGACAATAATATCTTCCTCACTCCATTGACAACTAAGTAAGTAATACTAAAAATATAAAATAATATATCTCTTCCCTTGTTTCCATCTTCCTCTTCCTCTCCCCCACACCACTGTCTCCTACACTCCTGGTATATGAGGTATTACTGGAGGGAGACATCGTACTTCTCCTGGAGGACTCTGCGTGTTGACACAGCTTCATCCCAGTCGAGGTAGACCTGATCCATATAACGTTCCCCTACAGCTCCGTTGTAAGCTGTCCGCCCGTGCAGGAGCCTCGTGTTGTCCATCACCATCGTCTCACCTGCAACACACAATCCGCTGATCAAGTAAACAAACCCTGGGCTGTCAACAGGGATGGATAATAAGTCGAACAGAAACAGCGGATGAGATAAACAATACACGTTTAACTGGGTAATAATAATAATAGCTGGATTTTTTTTATTTCAAAAGCACCAGTACTTCTAAAGAATTCTCTAGCGCTCGAAATAATACAAAATCAAGGACCTAAAAATAAAAAAAATAAAAAAGTACAATAAAAAAATCACAAAAAGTGACAGTTCGTATATCCCCAAATAGTTTCTCCGCCACAGAAGGCACCTGTTTCATGGATGCAGGGGTTGCAGGGGTTTCTCTCAGCTGAATAAAAATCGGGTGGCGTTAACCGGAATAAAATACTTAAGCTCCGCACTGTCCTTCAAGTGGTTAATCGAGAATAGTTTTAATATGAGGCACGAAAACACTCAGAGTAGAGTCAGGAACACCCACCATCATTGAGTTTGTTCCTGATAGCTTGTTCCTCGATGACGCGGTTGTAGAGTCTGAGGGCAGAATACCAGGGCGCCACCTGGTGGGGGGGCAGGTCCAGGTATGAGTCCCTCAGCTGGGAGTTGTTCACACGCATCACCTCCCCCTTCCTGTTCACCCTGCCGGATACACAATCAGCTGGCATGTGTGACTACCCTAATGAGTGCTACGTGTTATAATAAATATTATAAGTACAACATACAGTATTACAATTGCTATGAGGTTTTGTTATCTACTCGGGACACCTGTTACGGCATGTCGTTATGCATACATTTACGACAGCAGGAAGACCAAGACTAACTCACACAACCAAGGGTGTATTTGTAAATCTATTCAAACACATATGAACAGAAGGATACACCCCATGGATACAACCCGCAACAAACCCAGTGTAGAGGATAACTGTAGAAGCCTGAGGTGTGGAGAGCATCTTACACTATCATGGGTATGTTGAGAAGCTTGTAGAACTCTGTGGTCTCCTGTTCCACTAGCGCCGAGCCCTTGTTCCAAAAGTAGACAGGGGTGTCGGTGAGCAGCTCGTACTCCTGAGGGTGGTGACGACGCATGTACTCTGCCACGTGGAACCCGTCTGTAAGGTCGTTCTCCCCGCCCTCACCCGTGAACTGAGTGATGCAGTGCAGGAAGATGATCTGTGGCCGCCGGGGTGCGAGGGAGAGAAACACACATTAATCAAGAGAGAATCGAGAATCAAAACTTCCAGAAACACGTCAGAGTAACAAGATTAACCTAAAGTGAGATCATACTAACCGAGATCTGAAGGTAATATACATACACTGCTCTTCCTTGTTTATATATTGTATTGCCATAAACTCTTCATTTATCCTGGTGGAAGAGGACCAAATGTAATCAGACCTGGAGAACATCAGACTTACCTAAGGCACGTCCCCCACACCAGTGCCTACAGGAACCTCTTAAATTATGTATATGCTACACTCCTGATGGGTACAATTTATCACACTCATACTCCATCAGCTTAAGTATGAGGGTCTTACACATACTCCAGGGCCTTACACTTACCCCAGGGACGTATTCATAGTAGGGCAGGTCGTTGTGCATACCAAGTTTGGAGTCGGTGTAGGCGAGGCTATTGGCGCCCAGTTTGTTACGTATGGGGTAGTGCACCCTGGAACACACAGCGTGAGGTTATGGTTGAGGTGGTATAGTATGTCATCACACACAAGACCCTACTTTAAGTTACTTAGGTTTTATGTGAACCATTTCTCAGCGTCTTGTAATTCTCATTTATTATTTTTCCATCCTCTTCCTTTCTCCTCACTTTATCTCCGTCATCTCTTACCTTCCCTCCGCTCCCCTGAACTCACCCGTAGTGTGTGGGCTTGACGAAGCCAACCTTATTGATGATGTTAAAACACGCTCTGGGCTCCCTGGGTGTGTTAGTGATTATAGTGACGCCCACCTTCTCCATGGTCACCAGCCACTGTAGCAGCACCTTCTCATCCCCAACCAACTCCTCGTAGTCGAAGGTTGTCAGCTTGAAGTCAGGACCCCAGAGATCCTGTCAGCGGGGTCAAGTTGAGACAGGGCACTCAGTAAAACACAGTGTCAGACGCAGATAAATGGATTTTATTGTCATGCTTATAAAAACTTAAAGAACATTGATTTATAAAATAAAATGGATTACATAAGTGGTATTAGCAACCTGTAAAGACACAAATTTCAGCTCTAACAGCAAATGTTTGGAAACACTTGAGTTAAGCTTATCAGTCCACAAGATAAGCCAGCGTTGAAAATTATCGCTCTATGTTTATACAAATACTGAAAAACTGTCTATGATTTTAGAATCTTGGCATTATGATACTGACCTTTTTAAGTGCCAGTTTGGCCCTCTTGACTGCCCTTGGTGTCAGGTTGAAGGCTCGCTTCTGCAGCCACTGTGCCTTGTAGTGGCTGTGGTGACCACTGGACCACTGCAGTATCATCCCACCCTCGCTCACCTGCCAGTGGTTGAAACCATTACCACGATGACTCAGGACTACAACACAGATCGGGTTTGTACTTGATAAAAGAAGTTAAATTATAGTAACTAAAAGGGTATTTTGTGGTGTTAAATGTCATAAAGTATACCACCGTACAGGTATGTAGGAAGTGTATATTTTAGTGCCATCTTTCCCTATTTACACTTTATTGGAGCGTTAATCATTCGGGGAAATTTCTTAAAACAATAATAATCACATCCAGTAATTACACGCCATTAGTCCTATGTGAGATGGATCTGTTGACGGTCGTATACAGTATCTGGTCAACTCCTGCCCTAACAACTACACTCTTACACCATACCTACACTATCAACATCACACCTACACTATCACACCACACCTACACTGCCACACCACACCTACACTCTTACACCACACCTACACTATCAACATCACACCTACACTATCAACATCACACCTACACTATCAACACCACACCTACACTATCAACACTACACCTACAGTACGCCAAGCACCGGTGTAGCTAACCTGGGCCTGGATGGGATGGTCGGTGTGGTCCCAGTCGTCGAGTGTGAGTCTCCGGGTGAAAGAGGTCTCGTCGTAGCACCTGGGACACTGACAGTTATCTCGCAGCCAGCAATAAGGGAACTCCTCTCTGGTACCGTCACTAAATTCCACCAGTAAGGACGTGTCTCCTTTCTCGACTTTCCTCACTACTCCTTCTGTGGAGATAAGAGAGAGAGTGAGAAGATGAGGTTGGGTAGAGAGAGTGAAAAGATGAGGTTGGGTAGAGAGAGTGAGAAGATGAGGTTGGGTAGAGAGAGTGAAAAGATGAGGTTGGGTAGAGAGAGTGAAGATGAGGTTGGGTAGAGAGAGTGAAAAGATGAGGTTGGGTAGAGAGAGTGAAAAGATGAGGTTGGGTAGAGAGAGAGAGTGAAAAGATGAGGTTGGGTAGAGAGAGGAGAAGATGAGGTTAGAGAGAGTAGAGAGAGTGAAAAGATGAGGTTGGGTAGAGAGAGTGAAAAGATGAGGTTGGGTAGAGAGAGAGTGAAAAGATGAGGTTGGGTAGAGAGAGTGAAAAGATGAGGTTGGGTAGAGAGAGAGTGAAAAGATGAGGTTGGGTAGAGAGAGTGAAAAGATGAGGTTGGGTAGAGAGAGAGTGAAAAGATGAGGTTGGGTAGAGAGAGTGAAAAGATGAGGTTGGGTAGAGAGAGAGTGAAAAGATGAGGTTGGGTAGAGAGAGTGAAAAGATGAGGTTGGGTAGAGAGAGAGTGAAAAGATGAGGTTGGGTAGAGAGAGTGAAAAGATGAGGTTGGGTAGAGAGAGAGTGAAAAGATGAGGTTGGGTAGAGAGAGTGAAAAGATGAGGTTGGGTAGAGAGAGAGTGAAAAGATGAGGTTGGGTAGAGAGAGTGAAAAGATGAGGTTGGGTAGAGAGAGAGTGAAAAGATGAGGTTGGGTAGAGAGAGAGATTAGAGGCCGTGTGTCACAGTATGGAGTTCAAGACTATCTGGAGTGATTCCTTTCTTTCCGTAGTGGGATGTAAAGGCAATTGATCCAACACTGTAATAATATTGTTAGAGGCAGTTTATTGACCTAAGATGAGGCAACTGTTGTATATAAAAGGAATTAAAATAGTTCACACCTATAAATGCATCGTCCTTTGTTAATATTCACCACTTTATTATGCTGGGTTATTGTTGTCCTGTGTTCAACTCAGTCTTTCCACAAAATGCTAAGTCAGTAATTTTGCATTCTGTTATTTTAATATATTGTTGTTATAATTTTGATTTAGTTTTACATGGCAGTGGACCAACAATTATAAGCAGTAAATTAAGTAGTCAGACGTAAAAATTTAATTAAAATCGTTAGTTACTTATTTCATAAACTATTGCAGACGTCGGCGAGTTCAAACCTTTTCTGTAGTTCAGGTGCAGAAGATAATTATGTAAAGAATTACTTTTAAAAAATTATAACTGGGTAATTCTCTAATGAAATTGTGAAGTTAAATATTTACATGACCAGTTCCCTCTACTTACCCGAGGTGTTTAGAAGAAATGTGGACGTGGTGTGGAAGGATCTTGTGGGCGTGGAGGTGGCGTGGGCGGCCTGCGGGTGGGTCAGCGTGGCCAATAAGGCAGCGCGGGTGAAGTGGCGCTGAACTGCACAAGTCCTGGGTCTTACCTGTTCATATTGACACAGTTATTTAGCCAGAAAATTACGGATACAACTTGAACAATAACAACGTGGGTGAGCTAAGTTAGGTTAGGTTAGTGGCACGTGACACATACTGTAGTACATTCATCTCAAGAAATTATTATACAACTCTTAGTATTATTACAACATGTTACATGGTGATAGTAAATACTTATTACAGTGTTACCACGTGTATAAAAAATATTTTTATTTGGGTTTTTATTTTTTATTTATTTATACATATTTTTTTCTAGAATAGATTTATTGATATATAAAAATGTGATAAGTGGGTGGAAATAAGGCTCCACTCAAGAGACGGTCTCGCTCCGGTCATTTTACAGCAATATCGCCTTTAACATATGGAATTCTGCACTTTTCGAAACTTTGGAGGAGTTTCGAAGTAAGTTTCCTGGTGGGAATTATTAGCTAGTACCGTACTCAAAATATCGAAACTTCGAGATCTCTCCAGAGCTTCGAAAAGGTGGTATTCCTGAAACAAGATTAGGGCAAGAAGGTCATCGTAAATGGCGTCGTACACCCCATAACTGTTCTTGCAATCGGCCCAAGTCCTAGAGTATTCCCATACGTGGTCCCGTCAAGGGACGGTCTCGCTCCGGTCACTGGCCATCTCGTGTCCCTCAGTTGTAGCCAGACCATTGTTGTGGGAAGATGTTTATTAAAAAAAACTAACATTCTTTATCCAACTGACTGCCTATTTCCTCCCAGCTTTTTCGTTTTGCCACGTTATCACTATATCGTGGAGTACTCAAGTCATACAACTCCGCCTTGGTTTTCACTTATTCAATTAACAATTCATCTGAAAAGAAGCGATGAAATCGTTTGTGTAATACTAATTTGTAAAGGCTATATTTTGCTTAATATGTAATAAATGCAAGTCATTTTTGTTTTCTTTAAATAAACCTACCTTTCCCAAACTCGGTGACGGTTGAAGCACGACTGGAGCGAGCACGTGTTCAATCCACACTGGCGGTCCGGCACGGCCTGCAAGCAAGGGAAGGGACGCTCACGGTACAGTCCGCTCCCGTCAAAATATCTTTCAACGGAGCGTCACTCGAGCGTGAGCGAACCTTGACTTGTCTGTGACTGCAAATGTGGACGCTCCCATTAACATGCATGTAATAATATTTGACTGGACCGTGAATGGAGCGTGATTGGACCGTGACCGTCCCATAGTGTGAACAACTGATAGTGGGCCCTTCGTGCCCGGTGGCGAGACCGGTGGTCCAGTTTACCGAGGCGTGAAAGTTCGAAAGCCCGTGCTTGGCTAGCGTGCAACCGCCGTCCGGCTGACAGTGTACAGCGACATCGTTTTCCAGATGGTCGTGGTTGTTATAATCATGGTCGTGGTTGTTATAATCATGGTCGTGGTTGTTATAATCATGGTCGTGGTTGTTATAATCATGGTCGTGGTTGTTATAATCATGGTCGTGGGTGATATAATCATAGTCGTGGTTGTTATAATCATGGTCTTTGGTGTTATAATCATGGTCGTGGGTGTTATAATCATGGTCGTGGTTGTTATAATCATGGTCGTTGTTGTTATAATCATGGTCGAGGTTGTTATAATATTGGTCGTGGTTGTTATAATCATAGTCGTGGTTGTTATAATCATGGTCGTGGGTGATATAATCATCATGGTCGTGGTTGTTATAATCATAGTCGTGGTTGTTATAATCATGGTCGTGGTTGTTATAGTCATCATGGTCGTGGTTGTTATGATCATAGCCGTGGTTGTTATGATGATAGTCGTGGTTCTTATAATCATGGTCATGGCTGTTATAATCATGGTCCTGTTTGTTATAATCATGGTCCTGGTTGTTATAATCATGGTCGTAGTTGTTATAATTATGGTCCTGGTTGTTATAATTATGGTCCTGGTTGTTATAATCATGGTCGTGATTGTTACAGTAAGGGTCGTACCTGAGACTAACAGGTAGAATAAACCCCACACCTTATCTTTAATCTCAATAAACCCAGATTAACCTTACCTAATCAACAGGATTAGAGACCATTAGGATTGTACCACCAATACCGATACATTTCACACTGGATAAATAACAAAACAATTAATCACATTTCCAATAGCTAATGTCTTACGGATATCTTATCAAGTGTGAGTCTTACATGTCTATATAATTATGTTTTATTCTTACAAATATTTATAGTTCGTTGTGTATTGTATTATATGGTATGGTATGGTAATGTATTGTACTGTATTGTACTGTCACAGGAATAAGTATACTGTACACACTGTAGCTGTAAGGTCCGAAAATGGTCTGGTAACGTTGAAACTGCGCATCCAGACGCATAACTGCGCATCCAGACGCATGATGAAACTCAGCTCCCCCCCACCTGTTATCTCTAACTATTTTCTGTTTCCCTGTCTTTATTCTTCTATTTACTCATCTTCCTTCCTTTACTAATCCAAACAGCATTAAAAAAAAGCAGGCTAAGAAAAAAAGTGGGGGGAGGAGGAGGGAGCCGTACGATGATAACTGCAATCGTGGGCTGACAGAGTACAGCGAATGAGGGTGCGCCAAGTCCAAGTCAGTAGACTTGCATCGTTTTCCAGTGTAAATAAAATGGTTAATTAATGGCTTCCTAAAGAAACCATCGATATGGGACCAGGTTTGTTCCACTCTACGAATATTTTGCGATTTTTCCACCAAGTTTGATGAAAAACGATTGTGCCGTTTCGGCTGCCCAGAACAGACACACACACACAAACAGACAGACACACGCCTAGTCCTATGGTATATTAGATAGAGCCTAATACAGCCAGCGTGGCTTATGTTAAAGTGACAATAAAGCAGTGAGTCAGGATTATGTGGACATCATTTATATACAGTAGGAACAGTACTGCTCCAAGGATAGAGCCTTGTTAAATGCCATGCAAATTAGTTAAAAGATTCAGATAGATGATCTTTATAGCAGACATTGCTTCCTGTTAGACAGATACGAAGCAAACCATTTTTTAGTTTAACAAATTTATTGACAAAGCTTGGAGTACAGTTTGCCTATTCTGAGTAATTCAGTCAGGTCTTGACACTGAGGGTGGTATCACTTCTCACTGCCACGCAGGGCAAACCATATGTGAGATAAGCCCCTAACGCCGCAAGGCTCTAGCTTTGGGTCAAAATTTGAGTAAGTCATTGTATTTGTAGGCATTTGTGTGTGTGTGTGCGTGTATATGGTGTTGGTGTGTGGATTAGTGGATGTCATGTTTTTGACCTGGCCTCATGTTTTGTAAGGTCACCCTGTGTACATAAGCCTCTTTCAGCCCTTGTAATTCAGTTGCCTCTGAAGAAGTCTTGAATAAAGACGAAAGCTAAGGTGCTCCAGTGTTTTCCTTTTCCCTGTGTGATTTTATCAAGATTTATCTTACCACGTTTCTATTGTGGAACTACATGATATATATATATATATATATATATATATATATATATATATATATATATATATATATTATATATATATATATATATATATATATATATATATATATATATATATATATATATATATATATTATATATATATATATATATATATATATATATATATATATATTATATATATATAGTATATATATATATATATATATATATATATATATATATATACATAATATATATAAGGTTATTGGTTCATTAATTATCTCAGTGGGTGTGTGCAGTGCCAGACCTCAGCAGCTGACGTGACACATAACGAGAGCGTGACACAGCGTAACACACCTCATTATACAGACGCGCCACGCCCACCACACGCTGCCAGCCCAGGCGACTCATGGTGGAAGTGCAGACGACACACTCTAGTCACTCCTTGCTCACTGCTGGGAGACTCCTCTCCTCATCTTGCCATCTGCAACAGTTATATGACGTAATAGTTTAGCGATAACAATAGTAATATATATATATCCCCCCCTCTATCTTATCTGGTAAAAGTCCTCACTACCACAGCGCCGAACATTTCCGCTGTGTGCTATGATTTCCTCACAGCTGCTAGGATGGTCAGGTGTCATTATCTGCCACTCGCTGTTATCATATCTATGAAGGAGAACCATTTTCGTCAGCAGAGGGCTGGGGGAAGACTCACCAATTGACCTACTTCAATGTTACTTATGCTGGGAGTTTGAAAAATAGATAAAGTCATTCTGCATCACATGAAGATTAGCTTATGTCAACTCATGATTACGTTAATGGAGGAGTTAGGTTATGATAGTTCTGTTAGGTTAGATTAAGCTATGTTAGGTTAGGTATGTCAGGCTAGATTAGGTTAGGTACTCAAACTATTCAACCGAGAGCGAACTCGTCGCAATGGTTTTAAATTAGACAAATTTTGATTTAGGCATGAGCTAGGTAAACATTGGTTTGGAAATAGAGTAGTGGATGAGTGGAATAAGTTACCAAACATCATCATTACCTCGAATATCCTGGATAGCTTCAAACATAGGTTGGATGGTCACACTGGATAACGTGAGAAGGGTGTTACCCAGTGTGACCCTGCAAATCACCACAGGTTTCCAGGTCCCCGGTTTCCTCCTGTACTCATACTGATAGACCGCCAAAATGGCTGATAAGTGGCGAATATGATGAAAAAAAAGTGCGATAGGGGCTGAGTGTAAATGGGACTGCCCAGTATGGGCCAATAGGCCCGCTGCAGTTTCCTCCATTCTTATGTTCTTATGTCGTGTTAGGGGGTTAACCCTAAGATGAAAGAAGCTGGGGGTTAATCTTTATGTGATACGCTTTTGTTTTACATAATATATTTGATGTTCACAAACTACCCATTACTACACTCTGTCATTAAAGGGGTAAGCAATAGATGAAATTACTCTTGGTGTGATGTTTATATTACTGGCTATATTATGACGCTATACTATAAATAGAGCTACATTGAGATTAAATACAACTGGATATCATACATATGTGAATGATCGTGCATATTTGTATCTTTGAATGTATACAAATGCACATACTTAACATTCAACATTATTATCTACCTTCATACAAGTAAATTCAATATAAAACATCATCATTATTCAACACTCAGAATGTTTCGTGGTGGGGCAAGGAGTGGGAGGAGGGTGTGGACGTGACGAAACACAGGTGGGGGGAGACGTGGTATCTGGAAGTACTCGTGGTGGAGTACTGAGGAGTCAAGAGTACTGATGATCTCTCTCTCTCTCTCTCTCTCTCTCTCTCTCTGTTTTGTAATTGTGTGTGTGTGCGTGTGTGTGAGCTTCTGTTAATGTATACTTTATGGTATATTTAACATACAGTATTCTCTCTTTATCTCAGTACGATAGAGAGATGACTAAGACGTATACGATAAGGATGACACATACAATAACACCAGGATTTATTACATAGAGTCAGCGAAGGTGTGAATCATTTACCTGACAGTGCTTGAAAATTCACCTGTAATAATAGGTAGCGTTTAGATTGATGGCTTGTCAATCAGTACTGTATGTATTTCCATTATATAGATAAACTAACAAACTTATTTAGATTACCTGTAGACTGTTTACCTGAAGCAATCATCCCCTATCTCTTGTTTACGGTACTGCCAGGTGTCATCTACAGTACACCCCACATGGATCAGCCAACAGTAAAGCATTAAACAAAGGGCGAGGTTAATGGTGTTGATAAATCTCGTCACGTTGTCTCTCGCGATGGTCGAGAATTGAATAATTGTCAAGAAACCTAACCTAACCTAGCCTGACATAACATAACATGACCTCGAACGAGAGAAAGCGTAAAAGGTGCAATTTCTTGGCTATCGCAAGACACCGTGACGAGTTTTGCCCTTACGATTAGTCACGGTGTTAGACAAATATATTCAGTATAAAGCATAATGTACACTAACTTATCATAAGTTACATACGGTACATATAGAGAGGCAGCGTGGGGTTGTATAGCAGGTTGGCTAAATAGGAACAATTCCCGATAAACCTTTAAAAAGCAACTGACGTTGATACCAACAAGGGTTTTCTTTTCTGTTTTTCGGATACTAATTAATGGACATTAATTCATAAAAATTATGGTATTCGTGTTCATTTAAAACGTTGTTTGCCATCTTAAGTTGATCAAATTATACCTAAAGTAGGTTAGGTTAGGTAAGATAAGGTTTAAGGAAGGTAAGGTTAAGTTAGGTTTTCTATGAAACTTTTCGCTTTATATATATATATATATATATATATATATATATATATATATATATATATATATATATATATTCACCAGATACAGTCCACCTACCCTCGACAGGTACGAAAGGAATGCACCAATCTCCTAAACCTGGAATACACGTGTTATACAATGGTGAATTACTTTCATATATACTATTGACTAGTCCAACTTATTGTTTCTCCTGCAAGATGAAGATTTATCGCTGGGATGACGTGGATATATTTCTGCGAGGCTCTTGATCAATATATTTTCTCAGAAATCGATGAGAGTTGGTTATCCTTTACACTCAGATTATATACTAAGTGAAAATGGTGCTGTGAAACTGGCAAACTGACAACCTCCCTGAACCAGCTGACTGCTAAGTTGGGTGCATTCGACGTTTTATTTATTTATATAAGTTTGCCATGGTATTGCTTTCTGAATTATTTATATACTGTATAACTTTCTAAGTAACTAATTAATTTACATTTATTTCATGCAGTGTTAATAACGGAATGAATATTATATTATTGTTATTTTTGTATGTAAATAAGAATGTTCCGTTGTTTTTCTTCAAATTTTAAATTTGCCCCGCGAAGGGGCTAGTTTATTAGGCACCCCCTTGCATCTTGTGTAAGGTGAAAGGCAAATATTTATTAAGTTTTGTCGTAGTGTAGCCAAGTAGTTCAGTAAAAATCTACGGGGACCTGAACATTTATTATAATAAGCAAATTTTAAGTTAAAATCAGTTCCATGAATGTTCTATTATCATCCATAAAATTTTACCCAAATCAACGTTGGGGAACTGTGTAATTTGTTCTATTTACATAATGGTTGCCACCGATTTCAGAAATAATATATTCTGTAAGGAAAAGTCTTCGTTAATTTTTTAAGCAACAGACACACTAAAATAGAAGTCAGTGTCCTTCTAACACAACACAAGCCACAATAAGATGCACCTTCAGGTACTGTACTATAATATTTTAAAACAGTATTTTTTTTCGTCACCATTTATAGCAATTTAACATCATTGATGTGCACAGTTCTGACTTTTTTTTACTATATAAGCAACTTACAATTATTTGATGATTAGTTATATCCATGTTGTGAAAAGGAAGTAAGAAAAACATTGTATACATTAAACAATTACTGAAGGTTCACATATTTCATGAAGATAAAATAATGTATAGTGATGACTGTAGACAAGAAGGGAAACATTAATCATAATTTATTTCATATTGAAACTGATATATAGAAAAATGGGTTTTTTTTACAAACTATGGACTATAGATACAATGTTATGTCAATTGACTTCTTCAAGAACATCATCGATTAATCATTAACATGAACACCACCAAGAAGCGTTAGCACTTCAACATTAATTATCATCATCACTATCATCATCAGTATAATTTTCGACATCATCTAACACAGTGCTGAATCTTAACGAAAAATTCTGTCATGAAGCTTTTGAACTTTAGATCGTAAACTGTTTAACCTCTTGTGCATTATGCAGAAGACCTGACAGCAGCACCCTTATCCACTACCTCCTAAGATGTCCCCACACACAACGCTTCCGTGACGCCTTCTGGACCATCACTCCACGACCCCCTGACGGAGACACGATGATCCTCCCCATACTGGCCAGATACTATGTAAATAACATTGATTATGTGTTTAAGGAATATCCTTCCTTCCTTAGGCTTTAGTAAGCCCCTTTATAATATTTATACTGTATATACTTGTCACACTTGCCAGATGCTTCTGGTGTCATGTACAGGGGTACCTAGTGACAGCACTAGGATCCCGCTTCCTCTATTAAGGAATAAACAATTGAAATTGAAAATTGAACTGTTTAACTCCATCTACAGTATACAACACTACCTTCACCGCTAGTCAGTAAACTGCCGGCAACCTACCTTATTCCAGCCTTATATAATCTACCCCAATCTAACCTAACCTTCCCTAATCTAACCTAACCTTCCCTAATCTAACCTAACCTTCCCTAATCTTCCCAAATGCTAACCCAACCAAACCTAATGTAACCCTAACACTACCTGGAGGGTTGTCAGGTAGTGTCAGAGTGTTCGATTATGAGGTGAAATAACCTGGGGTTAATCTTCATATGATCCTCCCCTATTTCTACCCGAATGCGATAAATAATTAATACAATCAGAAGACAGCGCTGAAAACTAAAGGAGATAATTGCATCAGCCGCCTCACCTCTCCAGTTCACGCACCCATAGAGTGAATTTTTTTCCATAAAGTCTGTCCCTGACCACACGTTATCGTTCTCCCACACTGTTCACAAACTTGTGCAAATTCGCTCAGAGTCAGGCAAACGTGTGCGAATCCCACATCGCCGCTTCTTATGGCCCTCTATTGAACACCAATGCAGGAAAGCGACTTAGGGGAAGAACAGCAGAAGACGACGCGACGCTTACACGAACAATGAAATTAACAGAGACCGCCGTCATTCTCCTCCTCCAGGTAGGTAATATAAATTGCAACGGGAATAATTGCAAGACGTAGCTATAAAGTCTCAACCTCCTTCAAGTTAATTACAGTAGTGTTTAGTTCCCCCAGGGGAGGGGAAATATTTCTGAACGGTGAAGGTGACATCGATAACCATTCTTCCGTATTCTCTGTCAATATCTTCCCCATTTTCATTTGCAAAGATGATTTAGTGAGAGAGGGAGAGAGAAATCGCAAATGATATTGTCATTGATTCATTTACATTTTACAAGTTTGAATTCCTTTTTGCATTTTAATTTGAATGAATAGCTCCGAACTGATTGAATATTTGCACATCTATTCATTTTAGGCCTAAAATATGCAAAAATACATACACCTGAGTGTGTATGTATGTAATAGGTGTTTGAACCACTAGTTGGCGGGTATAATAAAAAGTCTTCGTGCCAATTTCACCAAGTTAATGGAGGAATTCTTAAAAAGTATCTCATTATCAAAGAAACTGTTTATGGGATGAAACAGATAATAATCAGGTGGGGGAAAATTATATGCGTCAGTCAATCAGCCGAGCCTGACGTCATCAGGGGTGCAGATGGACTACCCGGTCAACAGCCAGTCATAAGACTCGATGTTAAGTCTGTGTCTCAGAGTTCTGTTTTCTGTGAAGGCGGTGAAAGAAAACGAAACTTAGCTTGAAAATTCGAATGGATGTCTATTATATTGAGATAATACTACTACACGCAACTTATTATAAATTAAACGGAATGCCTCTTCGTCCAGCCCCGAATGTCCACCTGGACAGATGTTTCGCTAATCCATACTACTCTCTCCGCTGTGAGGCGAATGGCCATACTGTTTTAATCAGTCACCATGAATACTTCTGCATATCAACAAGGAGATATCCACTGGTTCATCAGGCAGTACGTAACCCTAATAGTGTGAAGCACAACAGTGATATATTTTTTTAATTCATTACGCTCAAAGGGCGTCAAAACTCATCAGAAGATGAGCGGCCAATCATGGCACGCCTCTAAACATTTTTCAATGGCCTCTCTGTCTTTTATCTAAGTGTGGTAATTACAGCTGTCAATTGGAAACTACTACAAGTGCAACTCACAAACGTTGTGTAAAATCATATAACTTCCATCTCTTTTAAAGTTGTTTAAAATATCTTGATTTTGGTGAACATTAAATTTGACACTTGCCTGTTATGAACAACAAACCTGTGGTCATTGTTATTCATTCAGTGCAAGGAGACACGTACCCGGCATAAAGAGAAAGGTGACTACACCATTCATGGGACTAGTATGATCGGTGCAAGAATATTTGTTTAATATCAATACATTAAGTTTCATAAATATCGAAGTCCTAACAAATACACGCTATCGGGTCCAATTAAATATTTTATTCTAGAAGTATACAGTAGAAGTAGAAGTACAAGTATATATATATATACTATGTTAGCGTTCCCTGGTCACAGTCATAGGCTTGTGTGCCGTGGGTTCGAATCCTGGCGGGTTGAGGTGTTGATTGTATGTAGAAGTCCGCGTGCTTTATTGGGCTAATGATATATATATATATATATATATATATATATATATATATATATATATATATATATATATATATATATATGTGTGTGTTTTTAATTCATCGCCTGGATTAAAATTTCAAAAAGCACACCCTTGTAAACAAAATCATCATAACTGACACAGATTTTAATTGGCTTGGTACCAAATCGTATTCTAAGGTATTTAGTACTATCAATATAAATGTAGACACAATTTTTCAATAATAAACTATTTTATACAATATCCTCTTTAAAAATTAAAGCCAAGAAATATAAGAATTCAATGTGTAGTATAGAAAGAGAGAATATAGTACAGGTACCATGGCGTAAAAGGATCGGGCTAACGATGCTCTTCTCCCAACCATTACCGTTGAGCCGCCTCCAGAATGACAACATTAAGGCACTTATGGTCTCGACAATTAGAGTTAGGACTTAACTACCTAGAGTGTTATTTTGGTGTTTAAGAAAATAACTGACTGGTGAACCTTAACACCCCATTTATTATACCCCATCGAGGCTAAACAGTAAGTCTAAATGACATTAACGGGGTAAGCGGGCCACTGTTAACGGAGAACTAGGGTGGGTAAGGAAGGTCTGTCAAACCGCCCACTTGGCAGTACACCAAAGACATGAACTTGACATAACTAACATATAATTGAATATAGTATTAAACAAGAGACACCAAAATTGAATGAGGGAGACTTATATAACCTCATCTTAGTGATATAAAATACTGACAGGTGAGACATCAACGTGGGTATTGGGATATTCTATTATATACGTGTAACAGCAAAACTCAGACAGGCATACACACAGATAATCACAGATGACGTTCTGGAATGAGACTGTTACGCCTGTGCATCCAGCTCTAAACATTCAGCTGAATAAGTGGTGGTGGCAGTCGAGATAATTTTACTGAACGGAATTTTAGCATTGTAATCATAGAGCAAATCCTGATTTCTCCAAGGCTTGTCCTAATTTCTTTCTAAAGTTAAGACTGACTTAGATCCAATTACATACTGAGGTAACACATTCCAATTATTTATTACTTTATTACAAAACGAGTTCATTCTCTTGTTTAGTCTTGAAATACCTTTAAATATTTTCTTATGATGTCCTATAGTTGTCTGGTCCTCTCGTAATTTAAAAATATCCTGACATACTTCTGGGTCGTACACACCACACAGGGTCTTATATGTTCTATCATGTCTTCTCTTGCTCTTCTGTAGGCTAGTGTGGGTAATCTCAGTTTCCTTAATCTTTCTTCATCGGTCAGGTTCTTTAACGTTGGTACCAGTTACTTGCTCTTCACTGCACGATTTCTGTTGCTTCTATGTCCTTAATTAAATATGGATACCAGACTTGATTAGCATATTCCAGGTGGGGTTTAACGAGTGTCAAATATAATGATTTGAAAATTTCTTCATCTAGGGATGCAAATGTACGTCTTATGAGGCCAACTATCCTATGCACTTTGTTCATTTTCTCTGCTAGATGGCTTGAGAAATTCAGCTTGTTATCAATTACTATCCCTATGTCCTTCTCAGAATACACTTCCGTCATTTCCTCATACATACATACTGTATCCATGACTATTTTCATTAGACGTTCCAACTCTCATGTACTGTACCTGCATTTCTTCGGATGAAATCCAAGTGCCACTTTTCTGCCCACCTCTTCATACCGTCTATGTCCTCTTGAAGCTTGTCCATGTCTTCTTGATTTGTAATTTGTCTATAAACCTTGGTATGATCCACATACAACTATACTTCACTCCCATTTCTGATAACTAATGGCAGGTCGTTTATGAAGATATTAAACAATAATGATCCCAGCACAGACCCATGAGGAATTCCACTTATTACCTCTTGCCATTCAGACTTATGACCATTCACTACAATACATTGCCTTCTGAAGCTTCAAAAGGCTTCTATCCATTTCACATCTTAGGTGGCCTGAGGAAGATGCTAATAAAGCACAAATTAATGTTGAATCTTGATAATTTACAATTGGGTTAATACTGTACAGTGGGGTATGCTATAATGAACGGATCCTACTATGAATATTCCTATAACGAACGGTTTTACCTATAAAATTGAGAATGCTATAACGAACGAAACTCCTACAACGAACATTGTTTATTTTATTTTAATTTTTTTCTAATTTATTGTTTTTTTATTACAAATATTAATGATATTCTTTATTTCAGGGGTTTAGATGCATATTTATGCACGTATTTACAATTTTTACAATTTTATATTATATTTTTCAGTGTTAAGTGGTTGTATTTGGGGGCCTGGAACGGATTAATCCTATAACGAACGAATGCTATAACGAACAAGGTTCTAGAACCAATTAGATTCGTTATAGCATACCCCACTGTACTGTGATTTTGGTTTGGTGATTCTCCGCTGAAGGAACTGCATTTTGGGTAAATTTTTACTCTAGCCTGTAAGAGTTTGTCCATTAATGTAAACTGAAAAGGTAATGGTAAAATTATCGTTCTGGTCATCCACCTATTTTGAAGTTGAAATTATGTAAGTAGGTAGTAGGCAGCTAACAAACAGGGAGGTACTACCGCCTGGGAAGATATTGGAAGCATAATGTGTTGTCTAATGGTAGACCCTGCTGTCATGTGGCATCAAAAAAATTGTGACCAAGTCCAAGGTTGCTGATCTGACTTTCTACCTCATTTACACAATTGCAGGGTCTCAATTGTTTCTCTTACTTTGACAACACAACATACATTTATCATTTCTCTCTCGATAAAAACAAAAAAACAAAAAACATTATTAATTTATGGCTTTATACAGGTAATCATTATTTTTTATAATTAAAAAAAATTAGTACAGCATTATTAATATTTTCTTTTTTTTTAGTATTTTTATATATTTTTAAATAATTTTATTATTATTATTATTATTATTATTATTATTATTATTATTATTATTATTATTATTATTTCATTATCATAATTATTATTGTTTTATTATATTTTCGGCCCCCAGGCCTTGATGTGTGTCATTAAAGATGACCTGTGCCTGGGTGGGCTAATGCCCACCCGATTCAGTGAAGGTCAGAATCGTTCAAAACCCACCAAAAACAATCGGAAAAACACAATTTCATCCTAACCTAACCTAACCCAACCCAACCCAACCCAACCCAACCCAACCCAACCCAACCCAACCCAACCCAACCCAACCCAACCCATCTTAAAATTCGCTGGATGACCGAAACGATAATACAGTAATACCAAAGTGTATAAGTAATGTTGATAATAGTTGAGGACAGGGTTACCACTTTATTTAGTTTGTGGGTAATCATTAAAATGATGGAATCCTTACACTGAGTTTTGCACGTAAACTAACTGCTCTTGACAATTTATGTATTGAAGATTACAGTTAAGATGCAGTAGAAGACATGGATGGGAAACTATATTTAATTTTTTATTGGGTGAAAAAGCAAAAAATAGAGTAATTTATACCATTGCAATTTTGGTGGAAATTTATACCTGTAGTATTGGAGTTCTTACTGTATTATTATGGTTTCGGTCATCCAATGAATTTTAGGATTTTAAGTTACCACCATCTGAGAGAGGTTCAAGTTTGGTAAGGTTGAAATTATGTTTTTCCAATGGTTTATGATGTGATTTGAACGATTCTGACCTACTTCCATAAAGGTGGATGACCGAAACAATGATTTTTACCCTATTTCAATTACTGTGTAAAGTTTTGAAAATTCATCCAACTTAGGTGGGTTTTGTTTACTACTTTATCACACTGACTTCATGTGAGATTCTGCACTTGTCTAAGCATTTCAAATAGAAATCTTCAGTTGCAGTATGTCTTCCTTGTGTGATGGGTGTTCTGTGTCTACATGGAAAACCAACCCAGGTGTTTTGGACAATAATGTAGCCGCTGTTGACATTTTCAAGGCCTATGGTGTTTTGCTTACTTAAAATATCCAATGTGTGGTGCAGACTACCATTATGATGAAGATGAATACAAAATTGGCAAGACAAAGGTTAGGTTAGGTTAGGTTGGATAAAGTTAGGTCAGGTTTCCTTAGGTTTGATTGGTTCAATTATTTACATGTTTTACCCTACAATTTTCCTCGGCTTCAAAACACTGCCTACGTTGTGTGCAGTAGACCCTTTCCATTTGCGAAGAACAGGTTCCAAGAAATGGCGCGAATTGGCAAAACTGTGAATAGCAACTTATACTACCTTAGTGCCCTACTGTATACCTAACCAAACAACTGACCTGCCGTGGCAGCACTCATCCCCTCTTTTAACTGATCTAATAATTCAACTTTCTTTGTCAGGGTCATCACTGACTTATGCCTTTTACATTTTTCTCCACTAGCATCACTGGCACTGACTCTAGGCAGTCTTTTAGGGGCCATTTCACATGGAACACTAAAGTTTTGAGAGTGCAACACTAGATGCTGCATGGGGTGACTTGTTGTGCTGCAGGAGAGTTATAAGTTTACAGATGGGTGCAACATTAACCAAAATAAGGGAATTTTGTTTATTATAGGCTGAATTTCAATAAAAAAAATTACTTTGACATCTTACTTTAACAGTGGTTTGAATGTTAGTAGAAAAAAGGCCAGTGTCACAAGGTAATTTTTTTTATTTAATTTTTCTTTAATGTAAAAGGCAGTATAATTTTTGGAAAGGCATCAATTGATAGTTCACAAGTACCCCTGTACAGTATAACATTAACTGAAAAAAGGATTTGTTTGCTGTGATTGGCTGAATTTCAATAAAGTCTACAAACTTTCAAAAGCGTTCTTCTCAAAATCCCAATTTTTTTATATTGGTCTTTCTAGTACAGTACTCAGCCCTAAAATGGTTCTCTTACTTTGACAAAATGACATACATACAGTATGTACAGTATATCTTCTCTCACTCTTGTATTTATGGTGCCTTATTATTATTACCGTATTATTATTGTTATTATTATTATTATTATTATTATTATTATTATTATTATTATTATTATTATTATTATTACTGTATTATATTTTCGTCCCCCCAGGCCCCAATGTCGGTCAGTGACCTGTGCCTGGGTGAGCTAATGCCCCCCCCCCCTTAAAAAAAAGAAAGACAGACAGAAGACTCACTGGAATGAGCCAACTTAAGGACATTTCTAAAGCATAACTTGTTTTTAATGTAATATATTATTTTGAACCACTCCTGCTTAAAAAAAACAAATATTTTGAAGAAAATTTTTACCTTTCAAATGTTAGAATAAGGTTTTGGGAATTGCAACTTTCCTATTTTTATTTTTCTAAAGTATTTTTTACTAGGAAAGTCAGTGTGGATGTTGTTGTCACTCCCATGTTTAGGGTTAAACCTACCCAGCAAATTTTCCATATGAACTGTTGAGAACCAGATACTGTAAGACCCTAACCTACCTGCTTAACCCAATCTTACCTGGAATAATGCACCTCCATCCTAGGTTAGGTAATGTTTGGTTGGTTAATTTGTCTTAAATACAATAAACTCTCAATGGTGGTGTTTGAAGGTATGAGAAGTTCTTCAGGTAAGATTTTGCTTTAAATAGCCAGAATATCCAGGTACACAAGTTTTTCTTTATGTGTTGGTATTTGTAACTTGAAGAAATAATTTATAATTGCCTCAACAACAATTTTCCAAAAGTTGCTGCTGCTAGCTTTCCGTGTGTGTGGAATGGAAGTACAGTACAGTATTATGATGTCTATTAGACAGTTGTCTTTTAATATGTGTGTGAACAGCTGATAATAGTAGTGCACTGATGTGGCGGGTCCACCAAGGTTAAGCGTCCATGACAAAAAAAATTGGAAACAAAAGTAGGAAAGTTACAATCCTTCTAATCTTTCAATGATATTCAAATAATAAAAAGCAAGTTTTCTTCAACAGAATTATTTCCTATTGTAACTCATAATAACATGTAATGTTGTAAACTATTACCTAATATCTTTCTCCACATTGTGGGAAGCTGCCATTACTTGTTCATGTATGCACCAAGAGACAAATGACATTTTATAGACATTAACACTTCCATTAAATAAACAACCACAAAAAATCAGTAATATCAAGTTAGATTATTTATATGGTAATGCAGTAATATTATTACTGTATTAGTGTTAATAAAATTGATAATGTACAAAAGAATAACGGAGTTGTGGCAATTTTCGTATTACAGAACTTTTATAATTAGTTCGACAATTTCTTCATAGAAGGTAAAAGATTCCTTACCTTGAGAAATGGACAAAAAGTGCATGAGGAAAACATATTGTTTACCTGTAATAATGTCATATGTAACCGCTCGTCGGAGTGATTGTGGCTGTGCAGGACAATAAGACCCTCTACGTTGACGAGAAGAATATAATTTGGTCCAAACTTGTTGAATACATCTCACATGTAACAACTGCTGATACATCAGTACACACAGTTTGAACAATATGACCAGTGTACAGTACATAACTACAACTATTAAAGTCGTTTAGTGTTCTCAGAGGATTCAACAGTTCACAATCACACTCACGTGTTAAGGGTCAAGGGTTAGACCAACGAGGACAAAGAAATGTTGGCTGACGAGTACTGTATCAAGGTGTTGCCTCCACAGGAGAATGTGATAGTTGCCCTCAGGCTGTGTCTCACGGGCAGCTGTGGGCCTGTCGAGACAACGTATTTTCCATTATGGTCGCTTACTCGGCTATCTTAGTTGTAAACAGTCTCTTCTCTTTACCTCCTCCTCTCACCCCTTCTCATCTTCACTTCTTCCTCTCTCCCGTTTACTGTATCTTCACTTACACATGTTGCTGATGTGCACAATTGTGCATGGCAGTAACATCACATTTACAATGTTAAACATCGTCTTTCCGACATTTCTAGTTGACGCTATGAATAAATTCCTCCGTCCTCCAAAGAATTTTTTTCTAAGATTAAAGTATTGTACAAGATAACTACTGTACATTGTAATGTATTGGGTATCTGTTAGGCAAGTTAGGTTTGGTTAAGTAGGTTAATTTAGTTAATTTTATGAAAGATGAGATGTAGTTGTAGCTGTATCTAATATTATTAATAAACGGTATATTAAAAGAACATGGCAGCCTGAAGGCTGAAAATATACAATAAACAGAGATGATAAAGTTTATGTAATTGGGTTGTGGGTCACTTGTTTGACTAATTCTCATAATTTACTTTTAATTCTGGTGAATTATTGTAGTTTGTAATGAATAGCTAAGTTAAGATTGTATTATAATTACCAATTTTATGAAATAGAACAGAGTCTGTCAGTATAAAATATAAAATTGTACATGTGACAATGCATGTCACATGATGATGTCATTAATTGGCAGGTTTATTGATGAAAAGAGCTATTGCTCCAGTCAGTGGTAGAATGGGTTAGACCTCTGTAAGACACAGACTACCTTTTGGAAAAAGACAGCTCAGTACTTTGTGTATGCTAATGTTATCAGCATATATCGTAACGAAACCCATCTTTGACAGAGCCTCGTTCAAGATATTAAGGATCCCCTTCCTGTCAAGGATTTTAGCTAAGTATCTGACAGTTAATGGTAGGAGAAAGGTTTAGAAAGGTTTGATTTTGAGCAGGTTGGGATTAAGGTGAAGGTAAACTTCATTTCACTGAATGTAATTAAATTCTTGGTGACAAATCACCACAATGATCCTCGAGCAAAGTTATAACTACTTTACTGTACTGTAGGTCCCATAGACCCTTATGATCCGAGGTTAATTTTGGATTGGTTCAAATTATTTCGTCATTTCATTTTGGGATAGTGATCAGAAAAGGAATTCCTACCATGTCAATATATTTTTCTATACTGTACAGTAGTACCCTGATTTACGCGGTCAATTGAACCCACAGGGTACCGCGTAAAGTGAAAACCGCGTAAAGTGAACAACAGAACATATGGGATTAATTCCAATAGAGACTGGCCCGACCCCCAAACTCCACTTTTTGACGACACACAACTATGTTGTAGTAAAAATATTATCTTAACTTTATGATGGTATGCACACACAATTAATAATTAAGAGAAATATCAATAATATTAGTTTTTTTAACACTTATATTAGTAGAAAAGATGGCTGGGTACACGGGGATGGGCGGTTGGTTCCGAGGCAGAGGGCAGATTATTGGCCCTCACCTGTATCACTTGTATCAATTGTATCACTGTCCACCACATAGGCTTGCAGGGCCTCTTTGTCAAACCCCTCAAAGTCCATATAAGTCCATATCCTCACTATCACTGACTTAGGCTTGCTGTGGTGGGTGGCGGGTGAAGAACTCGGTAATGTTTTGATGACTGGGCGACCTTGTGCGCATCCTGCCCGCGCCACTTCCCGCGTATATGAGTAGATGCACCGCGGAAAGTGAAAGTTCGGTTCTGGCGAGGCACCGCGGAAAGTGAAACCGCGTAAAGCGGGGTAATACTGTATATGTTTCTCGAGAATTTATTCATCCTTCATGTAATACGTTTACAGTACAGGACCTGTGTACTGTATTTTCCTTGTCAAAGTTCTTGTAAGCCCTCTACAGTGCTGTAGCTCATATTTTTTTTTAAAAACAAAGCATATTTCTGAAATATTTAACTAATATGTAACTTTTCCATAACAGGAGCTGGTAGCAGTGGAGAGCCAGCCATTTCTGAGAAATTTGAAAACCATAGTAATGAGACCGTAAACAGGCAGACAAATCAAAACTGTGTACTGTACAGACAATAGGAAACTGCTTCAACATTTATGAAATATAAGAAGTTTGATATTTAATGATTTTGAAAGTGTTATCTTGAAACTGTTCCATCATTTGTGTGCATAAAGCTTAAGACATACAGAGAACACAAGAAAGTGTAAACTGGAACAACAGCTATTATTGGAAGAAATAGTCAAGAGTGAATTTTCCTGTAAAGGTTCAAAGGCTAACACACCATTAGAGACAGTTTGTGATCTTCTGGGTGTGTTTGTCTTGCTCAGCGGTGCTACACTATTTAGGTAAGTACAAATCAACTTGCTGGTCGTTATTGTTCATTGGTTTTATAAGTGTACAGTTATAAAAAAGGTCTTTTATTGTTATACTGTTTAGTACATTAACCTTTTCACTCCGAGGGGCTGGTATGGCCCTGAAACCCCTAGCAGAGGTATTGTTACTACCCTCCTTTCCTTCACCGCTTACCCAGCTTTCACTACTGGTTGCCAGTGGCCAGGGTCGTATGTACAGAAGCAGTAGATTTCTCAAGTGTTATCGAATTACCACTGGCTGTCCCGCCAGTCTCCGGTAATTTCCCAACGATCAGTATCAGTGTGCAGACAACAGGCAGGTAGATTTCCACCAGGTCACAGAAACACACTTGTGCACTGTAGTCTTCTTTAATAATCAGTAATTCTTCACAACACTGATAACAGGGTAATGGCTTCTCACTTTGAATATGTACGGTAGTTGGCACTCTACCAGTGTACAATTCCTCGGTCTTTTCACTTTTATATTATTCCCAACAATTCCACAATACTTGCACAACAATTATCATCAGTTGTTCTGCTAGGCTTATTCTTTACACTATGAATGGAGGCGATCGACTGAATCCTGGTCTGCTCGCAGCTGTTTACTGTATATATACACCTCGAACATCCTAGAATCACTCAGAGACGCCTGGGAGATTCTAGAACGTTCTAGTCTGATCGAGGCTTACATTAATAAGTAATTCATAACAAAAATGATGCAGTACATTCTAGAATATTTTTACATAATTAATACATCAATATATACACAAAAATTTCACTAAATTTGCCAAAATAACTGCATGGGACAGAAAACAATCAAAACACTTAGTTTACGCAATTATAATACTGTACGAAATTATGCCGCGGCATAACAGTATCACATTTTACTGTACTTGTTCTTGGCTTATCATGTTTAGCTAATTTCCATATTATATTACCCTATTATGCTTCATGTTGTACATACACTATTGTCCCCTCTCTATTTCTTATTTCTCGATGAATATTTACAGTGCAGGGTATACTGTATACTGTACTGTACATTATTTACAATGCTTATGACTACTGTATACAGTATTGGGATAAAATGCTGATAAAGAGTACTGTACTGTATTTCTTTTTCTTTTTCTTTTCTAAAATAAATGTTTTTGCATTGAAATTAAGAGAATACTGTATGTGCTATATTTTGAGTCACCCCCAAGTTTTTCATTTGCATGAAATGATTTCCTTATAATTCTTGGTGCATGACTGTTCAGTCATTTACAAACATCTAGATCCTCCAGTTGCCATGAAGTGACATAATTCAGACACCAAGGTCACACAGCCAGTGGTCAAAGTACGTGACTAGTGTGTCACTCCTGACATGAGACAGCTTCTAGGCACATGAGAGCTGTGAACCAGCTGATGCTTCTTTTTTTTTATTAATATTATTGGGGGGGGGCGTCGTTGGATGACTTAAGATAAGGCTAACAGACTTGTTAATCTGTGGGATCATAATGTAATTAGCAGCTCCAGGACTTTTCACGCCTTGGGCGACATACAATAGGCTTAATCCATACATTAGACACAGCATTCACTTACCGCTAATCAAGAGTGTCTCATTCAGTTTGCCTCCAGATTGATAATTCTTTTGGTTGTGTTGCTACTGTACAGTATTCTCTAAGTTTTAAATTGAATGAGCATCATAATAAGCAGTCCATAATAGATGAATGGGTACACTAAGCCGATACTGTACCTGTTTTATTGGTGTTGTGGGTATGAACTTTTGGGCTTGAACCATTGTCCTGGTCAGTAGTGGGGGGGGTGAGTGGTGGTGACAATATAGGAGGTTTAGTTACTTTTTAATAGTGGGCTTTTTCTATTTGGGACTGGTAAATGCAAGATAATAAGGACTAAGGACTAGGAGAGAGGAATTTGATCTCTGACAAAGAACTTTTTGGATGCATTTTCCCAGTTACTCATTTGTTTGCTTCACTGTGGTATGTATTGGGATTCACATTTTTTTACTGAGTCAGGTACCATTGTAAGTCAGTGTAGTCTAGTGACTTTTATCTTACTTCTTTGTGGTTTTCCTTGACCTCTTTTGTATCAGTTTCATACTCTGAAGAAGCTTAAAATAGATGCATCAGTTTCCTCCTTCAGTTTTAAAGATAGACTTGCTCCTGCACAAACTATTATACAAGATAGGTAGTAGGCAGCTACCAAACAGGGAGGTACTACTGCCTGGAAAGATATTGGAAGCATAATGTGTTGTCTAATGGTAGACCCTGCTGCCATATGGCATCACGAAAGTTGTGACCAAGTCCCAGTTGCTGATCTGACTTTCTGCCTCATTTACACACAATTGCAGGGTCTCAGTTGTTTCTCTTACTTTGACAACACAACATACAATTTGTTTCGCACTCATGATTTTTTTCATTTTTGTATTTCTTTATGGTTCTTTATTATTACTGTATTATTATTATTATTATTATTATTATTATTATTATTATTATTATTATTATTATTATTATTATTAATATTATTATTAATATTATTATTACCATACCATTATTATTACTATTACTATTATTATTACTATTTCATTTCTGCCCCCTAGGCCCCGATGTGGGTCAGTGACCTGTGCCCAGGTGGGTTAATCCCCGTAAAATAAAAATAAATAAATAAATCATTTTGGTGAAAGTGATGAATGAATCTGTGCAGGAATACAAAGATGTAATTACTATATAAATTCTTAGAGAATTCATCTTAAAGTACTATACATGATCAGTACAAGTATATGTATAGTACAGTATTCCCATATTTAGGGTTTTATGGGTTCACAAATTCGTTTATAAAATCATTGTGATTTACAGTAAGTAAACCCTTGTTATTCGTGGGGGTTATGTTCCAAGGAATAGCTCAAATTGGCAAAACCGTGAATAACAACTTATACTACCTTAGTGCACTACTGTATACCTATACCAAACAACTGAACACCGCCACAGCACTCATCCCCTCTTTTAACTGATCTAATAATGTCTAGCAACGGCCCTGGTGAGTACCTGAATCAGTGCCCCTTATTACCCCCCACTTCATTTTGAATTTCAAGTTTAAGAGAAAGTACAAAGGGAAAATCAGAAAATTCTATGAAAAAACTGTGAAATGCATTATAACAATAAAATTAATGTCATCTTTTACATAAGTACCATATACAGTAGTATACAGTACTGTATATACTGTAGCTGTTCAGTATACAAAAGAGCTGTTATCAACCATTATGTTTGTATTGCTGCTGGCTCATTTGATTGATTTTGAAGGGAAAAAAATAATTTTGAGGTAGTTCATGCAGGATGTGTTCTCCCTACAGACACACTTCAAAACCACCGATGAGTGTGAGGTAAAGAACTTAGCCCCAAGGGGAGATTTTCTGACTGGGCTGTAGGACCCTGAACTGAAAATTCTTGTTCCCCTGATGATGTCATTCTGAGCCTCCTCTTCCCAATGATCACATGTAACCAACAATTGGTCACTATTAACTCTGGTCTCATAAAATCAATGTTATGTGAAACTTAGATTTTTGTGTGAAATACACCTTGCGAAGAGTGTAACCTGTTATCATGAACAAAGGATAGGCAGGAGGGAACTCATTGACATTGTTTTTATTCAAAATATAATATACTGTACTGTACTGTACAATTATTTTCCTGTACTGTGAAAGCCTGGGAGGGGCAGTGCAGATAAGGAACACTGTTCCCCAACTAAGTAGTCACTCACCACTACTGTATAGGATACTCATATATTTACTAACTAGAGAAGACCACACACCTCATTTCTGGATGTATTCCTCAACTCTTGGTGATGGTGTTAGTAAAATTACTAGAGCTTCCTTCATGTTTTTTTTTCTGGGTCTACTCTATTTTTAAAAGGTTTCTTCATGTGTAGGTTTTCTCTGAAGGATTTTGTGCCAGTTTGGTATAATTATTCAAAGTAGATAATTTTATGTTGTGTGAACATCATTTACAATGCATCTATTGTATAAGGTACGGTGATGAAGTGTTCAGTTGTTTTGAATTCATAATGCTACCATTCATTAGTGCAAGTCACTAATTTTTACAGTTTAGGAAGTGATCTTTATAGCTGAATTCCTGAGAAAATATTTCATCTTGTCACTGTTGCAAGAATCCAAAACTGCTTTCATGACAATATGGGGCACTACATAATGTTACGCTGTATCATAGACAGGGTGACCTCACTGTTCTAGGTCACATAAATTCACCAGGAAGGTAGTAGCCTTCTATTGTACTCCTTCCCTTATTAAATTCACTGAGGAAGTCACTGCAAAGTAATTAGGAAAAGAAGAATGTTCTTGGTTAGAAAATACATATGTATCAGGGTATTTATTTGGTTTTAATTGCTTGAGGTACAGTACAGTACTTATTAGACTACAGGTACCGCTGTGTATGCCAGATACACATTCCATACAAGAGAGTCATATGATACCGGCATAAGAAAAATAGAATAAAAGTGGACTACAGTACAGGTGCTCCTCTACTTACAAACGAGTTACATTCCTGAGGCTTGTTTATAAGTCCAACTTTACTCTTGTAGATACCAAACATATTGTAAAAAATGGAAAGATTATGGATATTTAGTACAGCTATACCCTTTAATACAGCCTTAAAACCTGGCTCACTCTTCTCCTCTTAGGTAATGTTTGTTCTATCTGGAATTTTCTTCAAAATAATCCAGTCTCATCCCCATTAAACACCTGTTCTGGCAGGTAACCCCCTCAGTGATGATGCTTGTATCTCTGAAGTTTGTAAGTTGAACGTTCTTAAGTAGAGGAGCACCTGTACTGAATTTGGGAGTAAGTAAAATATGCATTCCATATTAGGACTTCCAACCATATCATGTACAGTACAGTATCTTTTGCTTATGAAAATTGCTGCTGTAACTGCTACTGTTGTTGTACAAGTAGTTGCTTCTGGAGTTCCTATTATTGCTGCTGCATCTAC